TTGAAAAAATCTCGGAAAAATTGAAAATTTTTTTTTTCGCGTAATATCGATAAATGGTTTGAATAAAAATTGTAGGTACTACTATTATCTATAAGAAAGGTCGTATACAATTTTCTCCTGTCTCGAATACTTCAGGAGCAATCGATTCATTATTTCGTTTATCGCCAATTATTTCTTAACGCGTGGAATGAGAAGGAAATTACATAGAGCCTTTTATGTACCTGGAAACTATTCAGCATCGACGAGTGTTTTGCTTTCTATTTCTCATTCCGGTGGCAATGTATTCTGAGCATTGTAAAAAATTGCCGACTTTTTCATGTGACGTAAAGTCCCATAAGACTCCCACTGTTTAGTAGTCGTAGTCCCTCCTTGGTAGTAGTAGTAGTACTGGTAGGTTCCCCGCGTGGAAAAAGAATTTAAAAAGGTTCGGAGGTATAGAGTTTGTAGTGAAGAGGAGTACAAGGGATCGCTTTGAGTCGGTCATCGGATGACTCACGAACGAGGGAAAGAAACTGTCCGCCTCCAACCGGCTCCTGCATTCCTCCTCGATTGTCCCAATTTAAAAGAGCGCATTCCTCCCGCGAACCTTACTGTTACTGCCGCGCGTCGCTTTAAAACTCGGCCGCAGTTCCTTTCTAATCTACGAGCATTAATACTATCTACTTCAATTTTATTGTAGCTCGGCACTCTTGTGCTACGTTGAAGCCTTAATCATCCCGTGCATCGTTCTCGGAAGAGGGCTTCCTATTTCTCGCGGATTTTCACATGTGGCGACCACGCGAAGGCTTCCTAGCCCTCTCGATCAGTCGACAAAAACGTGATCACGCGGCTGGAGGTCTACTCGAACGGACCTCCTCCGTGTTACGCTTTTAGTCTAATCTAGTAGAGGAGAAGCAGGAGGCTATCCAATAGGTACTTAGAGTATTCGAATTAATAATACCGTCGTACGTGGCCTGGTTCATTAGGCCTCGATTAAAAGCATAGGAACGTTTACGGATCCTATTTCTTTAAACATCAGATCGAATGACTTGATTCCGAGCTGGTCGTCGAGTTTATCAATCCGATCACAGTGCTTCTAAATGCATTTTACTGATAACGATACCTTCGTGTTGTCTTCTCAATAAAATCCCTATTGTTTGTTTCTGGTGACACGCGCGTGACTCGTACAACCCGAGACTTCGATCCTGATTAGTCGTCGAGTTTTTTTATTTATTTATTTAACTTTATTTATATTTATTAACTATATTATTTATTTAGGTGGCAGCGTTTGATAAAATAAAAGTAGTAGTACTGGTAGGTTCCCCGCGTGGAAAAAGAATTTAAAAAGGTTCGGAGGTATAGAGTTTGTAGTGAAGAGGAGTACAAGGGATCGCTTTGAGTCGGTCATCGGATGACTCACGAACGAGGGAAAGAAACTGTCCGCCTCCAACCGGCTCCTGCATTCCTCCTCGATTGTCCCAATTTAAAAGAGCGCATTCCTCCCGCGAACCTTACTGTTACTGCCGCGCGTCGCTTTAAAACTCGGCCGCAGTTCCTTTCTAATCTACGAGCATTAATACTATCTACTTCAATTTTATTGTAGCTCGGCACTCTTGTGCTACGTTGAAGCCTTAATCATCCCGTGCATCGTTCTCGGAAGAGGGCTTCCTATTTCTCGCGGATTTTCACATGTGGCGACCACGCGAAGGCTTCCTAGCCCTCTCGATCAGTCGACAAAAACGTGATCACGCGGCTGGAGGTCTACTCGAACGGACCTCCTCCGTGTTACGCTTTTAGTCTAATCTAGTAGAGGAGAAGCAGGAGGCTATCCAATAGGTACTTAGAGTATTCGAATTAATAATACCGTCGTACGTGGCCTGGTTCATTAGGCCTCGATTAAAAGCATAGGAACGTTTACGGATCCTATTTCTTTAAACATCAGATCGAATGACTTGATTCCGAGCTGGTCGTCGAGTTTATCAATCCGATCACAGTGCTTCTAAATGCATTTTACTGATAACGATACCTTCGTGTTGTCTTCTCAATAAAATCCCTATTGTTTGTTTCTGGTGACACGCGCGTGACTCGTACAACCCGAGACTTCGATCCTGATTAGTCGTCGAGTTTTTTTATTTATTTATTTAACTTTATTTATATTTATTAACTATATTATTTATTTAGGTGGCAGCGTTTGATAAAATAACAAGAAGGTATTTTTCGCGATCAACCGGTGATCCATGGGTGACGCACGGGTGTTTCAGTTAAACAGGATGACTACGGGGAAAGCCTGGAGGGCGTTATCCCGGCCGCGCGTGACTTTCTTCCTCTCTGAATGAATTCTCACGATTAAAAACTAATTACTCGTTTGTTGCATAGAAGGCAAGCGCGTTCGGTCGCAGCCGCGTCGCGGCCGCAATCAACGGGCGGAAACCGAGAGAAAAACTAGCATTTTACCACGGTAATGCTGCTCGATGTTATTACGATCTCTCTCGCAACTTGTACGATCCCAGAATGGGGCGAAATAATATTCTATCTAGCGCGGCTTTGTACGGGCGCGCGCGTTCACGCTCGAAGGATTCGTGAAAAATGCACGTTTCTTTATTACACGACGCATCGCGCGTCGGAAAACTCGCGTTGTGAAAAATACGGCCCGATTGTTCCCAGTTGCCAGAGCGTAAGAACAAGAAAAACTTGATCGCCGAGTCGAAACATAATATTACGAGTTCCCGTCCTTTCGAGAGGCGCGAAGGAAAAGCTGGGAAAATCCTCGTGAACGATTATAATATGTGTACACCCGTGACAATTACCGCGTTGAAGAATGCGCGGGGAGAAGAATTGAATAGAATCGAGGTAAAGCCTTGCATATTCCGCGCGAACGATGCTAGGGTATTTACATAACTAGTTCGCATCATCGACGCCCATTTCGGGCGACCACTGTTCTAATCGATCCTCGTGCCTTTTACGCGGGACCGTCGCGATTTTCCTATTCCCAGTTCGCCCGTTTCCTCGCGCTACTCGAGCTTCGACAGTATCGTTGATCATCGTCGGATATCAGCGTGTCGATACCGTCTCGTCGTTATCGCGAGATAAGCGCGTCGATGAAAAATTCTAATTTATCAAATCAAACCATGACATCGTCACGCGTTCGTGACGGCGCGCGGCGTTAACGTGGATATTTTTCATTCCTTGAACATAATAATTCAGATTATCTTTGGATATACAAGAGCTTGTTTATCGATTTCATTAGAACATGCTGAATATGAATTTTCATCAGATGATGCAAAAGATGATTAAATATTAACAAGTTTGAAATAACATTTTCATTGACATTATTACATGGAAATTGATTTGTAGAATTCTATTAAAATTTCATTATCTATTATGTAATTTTCTATCAGATTTTTTGATAGAAATTCCTGAAATTAATCCTCGGTATTTGTAACGCGGTACATAACGCGCGGGGACTGACAATCAGATTAGGTAACTACGTTTTACTTTCATACGATCACGTGTACGATCCGCAGGTGGATCCGACGTCGACGACGACGTCGACGACGACGACACAGGTGATGGTTCTGCGGTTGCACGCATCGCGAACATTCCCACAACAGAAGGCGTATAAAAGTCGTCTTACTGGTTTAGTACCTGCGACTTTGGTCGCTTCTTTGGCATGTTCGCTGACCACGAGAGAGAATCCGATACCTGAACTGGATAATACGGCTCGCGTTGGATAATAATACGCTCGTTCTTAATCCAAACGTTAAAGCCTGCTCGAACAATTCTGAGAATTTTCGCACGGTGTGATCTCGATGAAAAGAGCCAACGCGAGGAGTGGGCCGGCACCCGAGGTTCAGCTTCAGTGAAAACTAATCGGGGATCGTTTCACGGCCGCGATCGATCCGCGACGGAGGGACGACGATGCACGGAATCTACGGAACGCGGCGGGCCACGGGTCCCATCGAGTGGCTCGCCAAATATCTTTCGTCTCATCGTGTTAGATTATTCCAGGCACGAAAATGCCGCCGATGACTTGCCAGTGAATTTTTATCGAGACTCGCATAGGTCAAATTCTACACCTGCGCGCGTTCACTTCTTTAACAATGGAAAACCGCCCATTCACTGAAACACGTATTAAGTATACGCATTTCGTACGATTCAGTTTAAAGAATGATTCACGCTCACTACGTACTCCACGTTGCTCCTTTCTCTATTGCACGTTTATGTGCCATAGTAGAATTCGTTTTTTATACAGATTCACTCGAGATCTTTAATCATAATTATGTAATACATCATAGAACAAATCTTATAATGAGTTCATACACAACGTATAAAATTGATTGATCAAATCATTAAACAAGAAATTATTCTCTATGACATTTCTTATTGACTTGAAAATATCCTACATTTCAATGTATTCATTCATGTTCCCAGAACGTCGCGTTTTATACGTTTTAAGGCTCGTGAAACGGGGGGCGAGGGGGGGAGGGTGTATATTAAGAAGTTACCGTTTCCTTCTCATAATCGTGAACGACGCGGTGGGAGTACGAAACCCACGGGACGCGGTCTAAATGCGTAGGCGTGTGCTCGCGTGGAACGTACGCGCGTTAGTGGGAAGGGCCGTAGACGTTTCTAATTAGCCGTCCTACTTCGAGTTACTCCGGTTATAACGCGAAAAATCTAACTCCTATCGCTGCTTAAAGCTTCCGGCTTACCGAGAGGCTTAAGAATAGCAGCGAGCGCTCGCAGACTCGAGCTGCGGAAGTCTGTACAGCGTGGGTTAATAGGAATGTTGGTTTAAAATATATATAGCGAACTTGTTAGGAAACATTTAAAAACTGTGTTAGAATCTGAAAAATTAATTAATTCAATATATTCTATTAAATAAAATGCTTTGATAGATTCCTTAATTTTATAATAATTAATTATTTCATATGATCGTTCTTATTGATTAATTCTGTGTAAAATTATTCTGTACGCCTTAAATGACCTAACTTGACAATCTCTGATGTTTGTTTTCCTAGAATGAAGAGATGATCGCAAGCTTACCGATACACAGTGGCGGCGGTGGCGGAGGAGGCAGCAGCGGAGGGCCGAGTAGTCGCGTGGCTCGAGGACTGGCCCTTCACAGGTCGAACTCCAGCCTGGAGCTTCCTCACAGTCCGGATCCGGCGTCTCGCGTTCCGGACACTCCCCTCAGAAGGGAGTATGGATCCCATGGTGGGTTCTCGTTCATCGGAAATCAGGAAACCGGAAATTGTGGTTGCTAGAGTCTTGGTTTCAATTTTAGGTAGCATCGACGTGGTAGCCCAGTCGGGATCGGTCGGGGAGAACCTGTTTGCGAAGCATCAGGATTTGAGGCCTGGGGTGCCTTCGTCGGCGGATCAACGGAATTCCGTCGGCGTTGAGTACCTGAGACGCGTAGCGGATGGTCAGGCCGTTGACGTGGACGAGGTTGTCTGCGATACGACGGGTAACTCGAGTCCGAAGCTGCGATTGAAGCTGCACAGGTTGTGGGGCGCCAAGACGACGCCGTCTAGGCCGATGGAGGAGAGCTGCTCGAGTCCCGTCGTCTCGGCCGATGTCGAGGAGAGGCATAGGAGACGGGCGTTCGCGCACTACGATTGCCAATCTCTGACGGCGAATCTTGGCTATGCAGCTAAGCTTAGGGGCATTTTACTAGCGAGGAGAAGAAACACGGCGACCGGCGCTTCGGCCGCGAGTTCGTTCAGAGCATCTACCCCTGATGAGACGCCGGAAGAAGACGCAGGAGATGGGAAAGGTATTTTATATGTTACAGAAAACGAATCGATTCGAATCGAATAATGTCATAGCAATAGAAATAATAATCGAGTAATCAAATCACATGTGTAGGTAACGATTTACTGGAATCGTGCCCTTTCTTCCGAAACGAGATCGGAGGGGAGGGTGAACGGGAAGTGGGCCTCACTCGGTGCTCCCAAGGCAACGGGGTTCACAGACCCTCCCTATCGTACGGAGTCGCGGTTTTGGAACCGGCCCCCGGTGAAACATCGTGGAAGCATACTTGTCCCCTGCAGAAACGACCGCTTCCCATCGAAAGCGTCGACGAAGGCGCTCATTATTACAGACGATATTTTCTCGGTAAGCAGTGAAACGCGAAGCCATTCATTTCCGTATGACGTGGCTTGCCAGGAATTCTGATTCAATGTTTTTTATTGTATTTCATAACGTAAGATAAAACCTGATATGCTACGTTCATTCTATTTTTTTTTATTTAGGCCGAGAACATCAAAATTGGTTCGGCATGGACGAGCAGCTAGGTCCGGTCGCTATCAGTATTCGAAAAGATACGAATCAATATAGGATAATAATTCGCACCTCGGAATTATTGACGCTCCGTGGTTCTGTGCCAGAGGAGGCTCTCGGCGGTATCAGGCCACAGGGCCGGCTCCCGACCAGAGAATTGTTGGAATTGGTCGCGCCAGAGGTTCAACTTGGCTGTCTCCGATTAGGTACTCCCGCTGCCGAAGAAGCTCTGGCCAGACTGGATGAACAAGGACTCTCCAGTAGATACAAGGTCGGCGTTCTCTACTGTAGGTCTGGTCAGAGAACCGAAGAGGAAATGTACAACAATCAGCACGCCGGGCCTGCTTTTCTCGAGTTTCTCGACACCATTGGTAAAAAAATTAAAAAACACGCCGTTCGATTAATGGACTTTGAGATTATATGAGGAACGTTATTTTTTTGCAACAGGCCAAAGAATAAGACTGCGAGGGTTCGACGGTTACAAGGCTGGTTTAGACACGAGGACCGATTCGACGGGTACTCACGCGGTCTCTGCGACACATCGAGGATCGGAAGTCACTTTTCACGTGTCCACGATGTTACCGTTCACGCCGAACAACAGGCAACAGCTGCTCAGGAAGAGGCACATCGGAAACGACATAGTGACCATCGTCTTTCAGGTAACGTAAAGCGAATGTCTACCTTCGAACTCAAGAAAAGCAAATCGTGACGACGATATCTCTACGACAGGAGCCTGGCGCATTACCCTTCAGTCCGCGGAGGATACGCTCTCAGTTTCAGCACGTATTCATCGTGGTCAGAGCCATCGATCCGTGTTCCGACAACACACGGTACAGCATCGCGGTCTCTAGAAGCAAGGAGGTACCGATTTTCGGACCGCCCGTACCACCGGGCGCTACGTTCAACAAGGGAAAAGCATTCGCCGACTTCATCTTGGCGAAAGTAATAAACGCGGAAAACGCGGCGCACAGGTAAGACTCTCGACATAATCATAATTTATACTACGTAAATACATGTATTAATGAACGATTATCATAGATCTGAAAAGTTCGCGACCATGGCAACCAGGACGAGGCAAGAGTACTTGAAGGACCTCGCTAGTAATTATTCTTCCACTACTGTGGTCGACACCGGACAAAAATTTTGTAAGTCTACCTCATTTTGTTTCTTAAACCTCGTCCGGATTGAAGAAAACGATTATCCACAGGCTTTACGAATACGACCCGCGTTATATTAGTAATTCATATTCATTTTCGAACAGCTATGCTGTCGTTCAGCAGCAAGAAGAAGACGGCGGTGCGACCGAGACTATCTTGCGACGCGTCGCAACGCGGTGCGATATGCTGGCAAGTGATATTGGAGGACAGCAATCAGAATACAGACTGCTACTTAGGCATAAGCGTAGACACGATCGTCCTGATCGAGGAACATTCCAGGCAAATCGTATTTGCCACTGCTTGCGTAAGCGTACTCGGTTGGCACGCGCAGACAAACAGGTACTTGGTCTATTCTATTCGAATCTATTTATTGTCCAAATTAAATACCCGTTTTAACTTTTTTGCAATCATTTCCAGCTTGAGATTGTACTATCATCAGGGAGAATGTATCACGATCCACGTGCGCGGTGATTACGGAGAAAGGGACGAGCTGATGGAGATAGTGGCTCGTCTGCGTGCCGTGACTACGGGAGCGCCCGCGACTGAGCTTTCCTTGAAGAGGAACAGCCTTGGACAGCTAGGTTTCCACGTGCAGCCGGACGGAGTGGTGACCCAGGTCGAAAGTATGGGACTCTCCTGGCAAGCGGGTTTGAGACAAGGTTCCAGACTCGTCGAAATTTGCAAGGTGGCCGTGTCTACCTTGAGCCACGATCAGATGGTAGACTTACTGAAGACGAGCGCTCAGGTCACTGTCACCGTAATACCACCGAACAACGATAGCAACGCCAGAAGGTACATACATTGTAATCGATCTCTCAAATTTGCTAGAGTCTCTTCTTACAATATTTTTTATATCTCGTTTTCGTTAATTTTTCAGAGGTTGCACGCTGCAGAATTGTCAGTACTTGTCGAACAGCTACGAAGGGGATTACGAGAACGTCACGAGTCCCGACAACCCACCCGGTCAGCAAACCGCGATGTCTCATCAGAGACGATACGAGAGATCGTTCAGTCCGCCCCGATCGAGCAACAGTTCCGGTTATGGAACGGGATCTAGTTCTAGGTCGTTCAACGACCCGCGGTTCCCTATGGAGGGCACGATGACGAGCAGCAGCAGCGGGCACAGCAGCAACGATGATCGCTGGTAAGAGGGCAACGCTCGGACGTCGTCGGACGTCGATCGTTCCTCGCATTATTCATAAGATAAACGCTTTCCAAAGCTAGACATTTTTGTGGCACGAGCAGGTACGAGTTATTGGAGCCACAGGATCAGGAGGGTAACGGTGGCGGTACTCCTCCGCCTCCGCTGCCAGCGAGGCAGTCCTATCAGATGATCAAGTCTAGCTCTCAGAAGAAGGAGAAGGAGTCGCATTACGCCAGCGCGAAGCAATTCGCGGAGAACTCGAAGCATCACGGGCAGCACGATCATTACGCGAAAGAGAGCAACTACGTGTCGCCAAAGTCTCTACAGGAGAGCGCGAGACATGAGAATTATCAGAGGCACGTGGAGAATACTCACCGGGGCCAAGATCACGTTCCATCGAATTACGTGAAGCTACAGAAAGAGAAGTACGAGATCAAGCAGGAAAATCTCTACGCGTCACAAAGGGAATTGCATAAGAACGTCGAGGGACACTACGTTTCTCATCAAAAACTGACCACCTCCAACTCGTTGCCGTTGCCGCAGAACGCGACTTACAGTCTCCCAAAGTCCGGAAGTAACAATAACGTCGGTAGATGCAACGACCACGAGTATGACTACGAATACGAATACGATTACGAGGGGAAACCGGAAAGAAATTCCAAGTACCAGCCACAAGAGGAGAAGATCTTGGATCGTGCAACATGTAAATACGAGCCGGACGCGAGAGGCCATGAGAAGAGAACGATCAACTACGAGTACGCCGAGGAAGTATACGAGAGGAGGAACAGCAAGTACGATATGGATATGGCGAAGTACGACATCGAGTGTCAACAGCAGGTGAATGAGAGGAAACACGCGGACACTGCGGAACAGAATCGGGAATCGATCAGGTACGAACTGCCGCACGACTTCAAAGTCGGCGAGAAAGTCACTTGTTTGAAGACTACCATCACTGAGAGGCCCGTTCCTCATAAGATAAACGTCGAGTATCGTCAAACGAAAGATTACACCGCGAGTCTACCGCCGGAAGTGAGAATTGGAGACGCGGGAGTCAACTGCCCGGAAGTAGGGATGCTGCCGAGCGAGGACGAATTGTCGAACGGATCTGGAAGCGTGTCACCTAGGCTGAGAAGAGTGAACAAGCACAGGACTGGAAATCTGACTCCTTCCAGCGGTAGCTCGAGGAACCAAAGCCCCAGACCGAAAACGGGAGTAAGAAACTCTCACAGGAACTCGGCGAATCTGACCTCAAGTACGCTTCAAGAGGATCTTATGAAGCTGATCAATCCTGATTATATTGCTGATGATGATCAGATAACGAACAACAACGTTCCTGTGACCGGGAACACATTGATCGGTAATCAAAATGCGAACAAGATTAACAACAATATACTCGAGATTCAGAACAGATGTAGATCGAGAGAGAATCTGTGTGGTAATGGCGGGAACGCGTTGACCGTTCTACCTGCGAACGGGCAAGAAAACGGAAATGGGAACGGGTCGGAAGTGATCCTGACGATGGCCAGGCCGGCCACGGTGATCTCGAACGCGAGCACCGCGTCGAGTCCTGCGCCGAGCGAGAACAAACTCTCAAAGGAAGAGAGGTAAGCTCGCTTCACTATTCTATTCGTAGTGCACACTTTTACGATTAGAGTATATTGTATGTGCATGTCTCTTAGATTGTCACCGCGCGTTACCAAACCTCCGCATTCGATTTCCAAAGCGCCGAACAACTCGTCTTCCGTCAAAGACCCGAAAAATCTTAACGACACGGACGTGGATCGTTGGCAGAATCACCACATCGATCCTCGATCGAAGCAGCACGGGCAAGAATGGTCCGACGACAGACTTATCGATGGATGCAATACCATTGCGTACGTTCACTGTCATCGGGTTCTGCACAACCGTCGATTAAGGATGTATTGGCTATACGGTCAATCCCAAAAGTTTATGCACTTTAGAAACGCATTTTTTAAAAAGAAATCAGACTTCGGAAGAACATTGCTAATAATAAACAACAAAAAAAATTTTCGATATTTCCGAGATTTTTCCAAGGGGATTTTTCCAATTTGTAAAAAACTGTTTTTTCGTTTATCGTCAATAACTCGTAAACTATTGACACTAGCAAAAAACTTTTATACAGAAATTGTAGATCTCGTCATCCTCTACAAGAAAGGTCCTATGCAATTTTCTCGTATCTCCAAGAGTTTAAGAGTTATTGAGGAAAAACGAAATTTTTTTGCCAAAAGTTCGCCGTTTCGACGCTGGGATGGTCGGATTTTGTCAACATCAATAAAATGCCAAATAATCGTACTTAACTCATTAAATATCGAAATTAGAAGAAGACTACACTATTTTTAATTATAGGAAATGCGTTTTTCTAAGGCACATAAATTTTTGGGATTAACTGTATAACCAATACATTTTAATGAATTATCCGAACAGTTACCTAGAAGTTCGTTGCACGCATAGGATCCGACCAACGACGAGTTCTCTTGTTTCAGAAATTCCGTACTACAGTCTCATTTATCGACCCTCGAGCAGCGAGTGGCCAGAGAAACGCGTCGGAGGCTTTCCCTGGAGGACGAGGTGCGTCGCCTGCGAGACGAAAATCGTCGCCTTCAGGACGAGAGCCACGCGGCCGCGCAGCAACTTCGCCGCTTCACCGAATGGTTCTTTCAAACGATAGATCATCAGTAATTAACCGTACCGTTTATTTTGCTTATTTCATTCGACGATCGTGCCAGAATCCAGAAATCGTGATCGTCCATCTGCGCGGTAAGAACAGTATTAATTTCACACTTCGTACGTCGACCGTGTATTTTAAAGAATAAGATGCGAACCGACGGTATCTCGAGGCGGCTCGCGCCTATGTTTTTGTATACGTAGACACTGTTTTGTATCATAAAGATTGGTATAGTTGTAAAGATACGATGTAAGTTACCATCGCGTAGCTGATCGTTGACGATGCGCATCGTTAAAGATAGCACGTCGATCACCTTCGTCGATTATCTTTTAATTCGAAAAGGACCAAATATTACTATATAGTTGCTTAAGAATCACCTTAATTCTAATTCATTCGTAATTTATTACGTGTTCTTTGTATTGTTAATTAATTAGATTAAGAGTTAAGCGAAACGGCAGGGATCATTTCGTGCGTGCGTCGAGTCGTTCCTCCGCGCACGAAACGCAATGCCGATGGTTCGCCTCGACCGATTTCAAGTCGTTACTGTGAGGCTTACGCGTTCGTTAATCGCAAGAATTATTTTATTTTATTTTATTCGTAAACCATACACGCATTACGTCGATGAAAAACTTTGTAAATTGATAAAATGAGTCGATAATAAAATGAGATGCACACCACAGGGATGCGAAACGTTTTTATTTCATCTAACTAAACGCCAAACAACGAAGAGACGAGAGTCGACGATGTAACGAGAGACAAGGGGAGACGCTGGCAAAGGACGGAGGAGAGATTCAAATAATACCGGGACGCCTAGAATAAAATAGTTTATTGTAATCCACAGAAAAAAAACAAGACATTTCCAGGATGTCTGAAAACTCACTGTCCTGTATCGATTAACAATAGCAGCGGTTACACACTCTTTCCTGCGTCGCGTCGGGACCAACGTAAACGCGCACACGCGCGCATTTCTATCTGGTGAATGTTATGTAGAACGTCGAGGTGAACGATACAGAATATTCGACCATATAAACTACGGTAAAATTCTTTTTACGATACTCCGCTCTTTTAAAGAGCCTGTAACAGATTCTGTTTTATTTAGTTTCTTTAATATGTATGTATATACATGCATATCTATGATTCATATCGGAATACCCGTCTGTCTGAGGGAGGAGGGGAAAACCTTAAAACTGCGATCATCGCACGATAATACGTTACCGTGCGTCTATGCGTGTGAAAAGGTGCAACGATCATCGCACGACGAAGCGACGAGTCGCGACGTCTCTATACATTTTTATATCGAGTTCTCTTTAAATTCGTCGATGCGCTTGGATACGCGACGCGTTCGAGCACTTAACAGGCACAACTTGAAATCTCACTACAAATCTCACGCACCCACATACACGGACGCACGCATTCTTCAGCATCAATAGTAGCTCCCGATCGATGAAACGCGTCGCAAACGCTTTCAGAGACGATGAGAGAACCAGTGTTCGCTACCGGGATCGATAAGATCCACCGATTTGTTCGTTTAAGTACATGAGAACGTATGCATATGCGATTAGTTCAATTTAACGATCTCGCGTTTAAGAGCCGACTTCGTTTCGCGTAACACCTTCCACGTTTTTCCCTCCCTTCCTATCTACTTGTTTGTGAACTCGTTGGTAAAAGCGGATATACTCGACGACGAGGAGAACGGTCTTCGAGACCATAATTCATCGTCATATGGCACTAGGTATCGCTTTGCAGAGAAACGTGAGGTCGTGTTAATAATAATTGTCCTAAGAAAGCAGAGAGAAGAGTTGAATTGTTCGAATATGTATTGAAGCGGAGGGAAAATTCATGGAAAATGTACCGGAAGGACGAAACGCGGACAGAGGCGGAACGTTGTTCGGTACGCGAAGCATCCTAAATTTCGCCGCTGTCCTCTCCCTTCCGTCTTCCGCGTAAAGTATTATTACTTGCTTCGAACACGCGATGACCGTTACCGTGACACCGAAACGGATATTGCAAACTTTGATCCCTAAACGTTCGAACATTACGAATAATATTTCGAAGATAAAGAGATGCACACCTCTGCGCATACCATAGCTAATACAAAAATACTGTTCTGTTGCACCATTTCATCTCCTACTACTCTTATTAGTTTTACGCATAATTATCCCTGTAGTCTTTTAAAACGCTCCTTCGTCGCTTTCGAGAAAACGAGGAAAAAAAGAACTGATGAAAAAGAAAGAAAATACTGATTACCGCATGGTCTAACTGTGAATGAAACGTGAGAGTTTTCCTCTGACAACCGTTCCGTTCTGCAATTTCTCTTTTCGACTCGCTTCTGTTCCCCAACAAAATATTTCGCAAACGCCAACGACAACACGTAAAATGACACGATGACACTTCGCAACGTTTGAAAACGTAAATAGAAATTGAATCGATTCAATCAGGAAGCTGATTCTTATCCCTACTTGGAAAATAGTACATGCGATGGTAAAAATCAGCCTCGTACGAGCGTGCGAGGACTACGTATACATTATACATAAACGCGCGTGTTTACTCTCCTTCACACGATTTGCCCTGTCTCGTGACAAACGCGGGGAGAAACGCGACGATACAATTTTCGCAAAGAAGTAGGTCGCCGCGATGCCGTAACGTGCCGCATATCCAGGGGAGAGAAATACGTCGACGATGAATCGTCGGTATTTATAAAAACGTTATAGAAGACGTGATATGCGAACGATACGGGCAAGACGAACTGTTACTTTATATCCACGTTTATCGTTTTCTTTTTCCTCTGTCTTTCACACACTCCTTTCCTTTCGCTCTCGTTCTCTCTCTCCCTTTACTCGTTCCTGTAGCGGTTTAAATAATTACAATACAGCTACACGGAGCGATAAACGTCCCTCATAAAATCCTATCGACGCAAGCCATTCGTTTATTCACTACGATTATTAACTGTATAATCATGTATGTATATATATATATATATATATAGATTTATGTATAGTATATATTCAGCATCACAGTAAGATAGCGCCCTTCATTCATTTAAGTGATCGTCGATCAGCTCGGACTATTTATATTCATTCCTGTCAACAATATATTCTACAACAACCCGTCTAAACACTCTTGGATAATTCCCTTTAGCATCAGTATCGATGCATCTCGCCGCGTACCGCGCACCCGCGGTAATAGACTCGTAGGCGAGGACGTACGTGTCGAACAAGTAAAAATTGTAAAAGCCGGTCCGATGCCGGCGCGTATCGATAACTTTGCGAAATACTACTGTCAGAGTCGAAACGAAGCGGATAAAAGCAACGCGATACAGAAGAAAGGAACCGCAATTAAAAGCAAGATGAAAACGCGTACGGCATGCAGGTGTAGAAGAGAAACCAGTCATTAATGCCTCGTCGTTAAAGCCCTGATGCGTATGCAAATGAACGGTGGCGCGTGCTTATACGTTACGTATCTCGGAAGAAAGAAGTTACATATTATGTATTTTGTACGTTCGCGCGACGCTGCGCGAAAACGTCGAGGAACTCAGTACGTAAATGTAATGTATACGTACAGTTTTTCGTTCCAGTGGTCGAAACTTAACGAGCTATCATCTCGCATACTGTGACACACATCATACAGAAACGTGCACCGTCCAATACTGTCTACTAATAGTAAGTTTCGGTGGACTGTCACTACGTTCGATCTCTGTTCTACCTATCGAGCGACGAAAGAGGATACAGTTCTAAAAAAACAGATAGTACTTACGGCTACTTCGAAAAAATAAATAGTTATAAAAATAAGCGAGCATTTGTATGCTTAAAATACCTTAGGTAAAAACTTAATTAGTTTGCACCACGCGCGTACGGAGTGGAATGTGTGGTCTCTCTTACTAGATCGTTAAAAGCGTATATCTAACAAAAGTTTAACTATCGTGTAATGTAAAAAACGTTAACGACAACTTGTTAATTGTAATTCGAAGTGCGACAGTTCGATAAAAAAACGCGTGAGTCAATAAATAAGAGTGCAACAAGAGTTAGAAATAGGATAAAAAGCGAGATCGAGACTGATCGATTCGCTTGACGACCATGTCCGATCGTCGAGTAGAATAAATAACTGTTGAAAATCTGGTCTCCTCGCGAAAATACATTAGGTACTTAGTTCGATTCGTTTCACTATCCCTTCTCAACCCCATCATTTCCCTACCGATCCGTATTATAATATATATAATTCATAACTTACATAATCCACTGCTGAAGAGAAGACTTTTACTCGTGAAAACACGAAACGCGTTCACGATTTCGAGACGTTTAAAGTAAAAGTGGGTGATAATATTTTTGTACTTTTATACAAACATTTTCGCGTCTAATCGTTATTTATACTTAACAACGGGAACGCGACCGTATTCTTGTCACGTAAAGATTCGCACGACAGCAGAACGATCAGGAATCATTTCGCGAAACGAGCATGCATGAGAATCATCGAAAAGAACGGAAAAATGCGAAGCGTGACAAGCTCGGATGAAAAAAAATCAAATTCGTATCGCGAACGGAAAGAAACCATGAGGGGAAAATTGAGATTCGAATCGCGTATGCGCGTGCCACGGACCCCATTCAGAAAAATTTATCCAGTGGCACTGCGACTGTTAATTCAATACTTTACGATACCGAAGCGTCGGTCAAAACTCTTGTACTATTCGCGACGCGTCCTCTTGGGACGTTGATTGACTCCGATGTCATCGGTACCGCGAGACTTTTTACCAATTTGTACCTGGCTCTGTGCGGTCAGCTGCAACGAAATCGCGTGCGTGTTCAACTTCTCAGCCAACAGCAAATCCTTCAGACCCTTCATCTTGTGACTGTACAGCGTTATTCTCGGTCTCTCGTGCTCGGAGTCAGTCTCTACTTCGGGATCGAGGTTCTCCTGAGACGTCGAAGGTGCAGGAGGCAAAGCTCCATCCGGTGGTGCAACAAACGGTTCCCCGCCGCCTTGTAACAAATAATCTCTGTTAAGTATCTTCTCGCTGCACGCGGCCGTCAACGCCTGAATACTCGGATGCATAGGTGCCGGGTTCGGAGGAACTTTCGACTCCAAACTCTTGATCAGGTCGCGCGCCGCGTTACCCCTTTCTTTAGTTTTACAGTAATTATTGTTATTATTATTATTTAATGCTTCTTCCGGACTTGTTTCTCTTTTATGTGATTTTTCCTCTTCTTGCTTCGAGTCCGCATCGTAACAATCGATGATCACTTGAGCGCGAATACTGGCGTCGAATTTTGAAATGGTGTTTACCAACGGTCGTGCCCATCCTATGTGTAAGACGGGCGTGTTCGCTCCCTCCTCCCACTGGCAAATGCCGTCATAAAACCTCAACAAATAGGCGAAACAACGAGACTGCTTCAACAAACGTTCGTCCGCTCGCACCGTGTGCGGTATCAATTCGTTAGCTATCTCTAACAATTCTTTATATATCTCTCCGTCATCTCTCGTATAGTCATACCTATTGCACGTTACAAGACAAATTATTTTCATTCCCAACTGAAAAATTTCCAATTTACTGCGTCAGAATTGTACTTACTTTCTCAGAACATCTGCTCCGTCCGCCCACGATGCCAACGCGTTGGCATGTAAACCGTGTCTGTACAAATAACCGCCCTGGTAGGTGTACGGGTACACGTGAGCGTTCCCGTAATATTTTCTCGCCGATCGTATGGCCTCTTGAAATAGATCTATCGCAGGTGGTCTACCCGGAGTAGGTGCCGCTTCCTCGAGATCTCCAAGATTACCAAGCGCCATCGGATATTTAGCAAGATGGCCTAAATCGTATAACAGCCACAGTAGCTCCTGTTGGAGTAAAGCTACTTCTGCGGCATCTGCTGTTGCGCTTAAGCTGGGGTTTATAGCAGATACAATAGTAGCGACTTCCATGGCTCTAGTACAGACAACAGCTTGTCCGTTCACGTACAACCATGAACGGGATGCTACTCCAGGCTCGACAGGCTGACCACGTTTATCCTCGTTTCCCTTTCCTAGGAACAGACAAATAATTCAGTTATATTTTTTATTAAATAAATTCCAAAGAGCTGTAGTTACTTACCGTGCCAAGTAACTTCCGCGGTTTCAGTTCCGTTTTCTCCGTACACGACCCAAGCGTGGTCTTCGGACATAGCGAGATGCACGTCTTTAAATCCCAACACTTGGCACCCGGCGACCACGGCGAAGGCCACGCCGAAGCAATCCAGTTTGTTCGCTGTGAGGTAGCTGTAGAGACTTTGTAAGTGAGCGCGATCTTTGTAGTAGCTTCTGGTGAGAGAGTTCCATATCACGTCGGAAACTTTCTTGACGAGCTCTCTGGTCGCGTATTTGGTGTCGTAAACGGTGAGGTCGACCGCGCCCTTGATCACGGCGTGAAATTTCGTGTAAAGGGCCTCGGCGATGTGAAACTCGACGGCCGGCAGTTTCGGCTCATCGTAAACAGTGTTCTCCTGCGACGCAAATGTCCGGTTACAGGTTAGGGAGTTCTCCACCGCGCCGACGAGGATCGAGAGTAAAGCCAGGTCCGGTTCCGAGCTGTTTTCCAACTGATTTTGGAAGATGCTCACGATCGAGGAGATGCTCTGAATAGGAAATAGAGCTTTGTCCTCGTCTCGAAAACCCGCCATGTCGTGACTGGCTGGGTACACACACGAGATCGAGACGGTGATCTTCTTTCTATACCACGAGTGTCATTCTGTTTTACATTTATCTTGACAGAAACTCACGACGAAATTACGTGATCCGCTCGGGTTTTAATTTATTGAACAACGACGCACGCTAGCCGATGCCGATTCTCCCGTTTTCGAGGGAAAACTCTCACATTTCCGCATCGGAAAATTTCCGCACCATAATCGTGTATCAACCAGCGGCGCGCCGCCACTAGAACTGCCTGCCTGCCTGGCCCTGCCGATTTGCAAAATTGGTCGAAACTGCCTTTCCGTTTCGGAACATCGTGGAGTGTACATATATCGTGAACAAATTGTGAACGAAACTTCTTTGCACGTGCATCAAAATATTCGAACATTAGTCAAAAGTTATAAATCATAAAAAATGTCGCAACTGATAGTAAAAAATTTACCTAAGAGCGTAAATAATAATACGTACTAAATCAGAATGGGTAACGAATATAATTTTGCAATGAAACCTCGTGGGTTACAGATACGAAGTTGAGAGAACTCTTCAGTCAAAAAGGTTTAGTGACCGACGTACAAGTAAAATATACGAAAGATGGCAAATTTAGAAGATTTGCCTTCATCGGGTTTAAAACAGAAGAACAACCTGCGGCGGCTAAAGAATATTATGGTCTTGGAATGGGCTCAAGCCTGCTCAAGCCGAAGACGGCGTGGAACCAGGGGTCTCGGAATTTATCCCTCGGCCGGAAAGTGGGGACGACGCGACCATCGTGGGGACCAATAGTTGGTGGGGGTATGCAGTGACTTTCACGGTAGCGAACGCGCTTGAGCACGCATGAGGGGAATAGTAGTAGGGATCGAAATACGGGCGAAAAACAGGGGAAGCGAGCCGTGCGGGATAAATTCCGAGACCCCTGCGTGGAACATATCAGAAAGCGAACCGCGAAACACTTTTACTAAGGTATGTACTGTATG